CCGCATTTGGCGACTGGGGGGCTCGAGAAGGAATGGGGCGTTGCTAGGGCCCCACTTCTTTGACCGACGGCTTCAAGATGGCCCCAGGAGGGCCCCCGAGGCTTCCAAGAGGGGCCCAGGAGATCCCCGAAACGACCCGAAAAGGGCCCCAAGGGGCTCCAAGACAGCCGCCAAAGGCAGCCAACATTGCCCTAAGAGAGCGCCGCGGCGGCACCGATATGACGAAGTTGATGGGGCGTCCCGCAGGCACCTAAAGCGAACGACTCGAGATCCTCGATGATTGATGCCCGTCGTCGTCAGCGCGTTTTTTCCCTGAAAGGGCTCAGGCCCAGGGTGCTCTTTTAGTATGTAAACATAGTCCCCCGTGCCCAACTTGAAGGAGGCCGGCGGATTCTTTCCTTGATAAATATCGAGGTCGAAGGAGGCCGGCGGATTAAAATTTGAGGATGTCTCAGGCGAAGCGCTTGTTTTTGAAATCCCGATCGATAAATCACAGGGTGCGGGACACCTCAGCACGACCACACCCCAGCACGACCACGCCCCAGCACGACCACGCCCCAGCACGACCATACCGCAACACGACCACGCCCCAGCACGACCACTCCCCAGCGCGACCACACCCCAACACGACCACACCCCGCCACGATCACACCCCACCGCGACCACGCCCCAGCACGACCCGATCGATGAATCACAGGGCGCGGACCACCCCAGCACGACCACACCCCAGCACGACCCCACCCCAGCACGACCGCACCCCAGCACGACCACGCCCCAGCGCGACCACACCCCAGCACGCACCACACCCCAGCACGCACCCACACCCCAGCACGACCACCACCCCAGCACGACCACACACCCAGCACGACCACCCCAGCACGACACACCCCAGCACGACCACACCCCAGCACGACCACACCCCAGCACGACCTCACCACAGCACGACCACACCCCAGCACGACCACGCCCCAGCACGACCACGCCCCAGCACGACCACGCCCCAGCACAACCACCCCCCAGCACGACCGCCCCCCCAGCACGACCACGCCCCAGCACGACCACCCCCCAGCACGACCGCACCCCAGCACGACCACTCCCCAGCACGACCACACCGCCTTGGTTGAGTGGTTGCCTGTCGTCGTGGAATATTTCGCGGGGTGTCTCGTGGAATGTTTCGCGGGGTGTCTCGTGGAATGTTTCGCGAGGTGTCTCGCGGAATGTTTCGTGAGGTGTCTCGTGGGGTGTTTCGTGAGGTGTCTCGTGGGATGTTTCGTGAGGTGTTGCCCCGTTGGGTATCGTGAAATCGTGCCCATGCTCCACATGTCTATATCCCTTTCCGGGTTTGTGGGTCTATCATGTTTCTTCTTTATCCTTTATCTTTCCCTTCCTTGTCCTCCTCCTCCTTTTCCCTCTTCGGTGACCTCCTCCTTTTTCTGCTCCATCCCCGTTCCTGTGCATCTTCCGATTAATTACTCCTGCGCCCTTCTCTTTTCCCTAATGTAACGGTTGTCCTCGTTTTTTCTTTGCGTTGCATGTTGCTTCACTTCGCTTTCATGCCTAGCGCAACTTGCTTGGGATTCGAGTCGGCCAATGCTTTCTTCTGCATGTTCTTGCCCCTCCTATTTCCTCCTACTTCCTCCTGCTCCTTGATCCTCCCACCTCTTCCTACACCCTCGCTGGTGAGGGCGCACGGCGCACGCGCGTTCCGCGCGGATCACTGGTGCGCCTTTTGTTTCCCTCAGGCTTCTTGTGCTTCTTCCTGCCTCCCCCGAGCTCCTCTTCCGTGTTCCTACCTGCTCATGCTCTTGCACGTTTCCAGTCTTTCCTATCACCATACTCCCTCTCTTCACCGTGTTCATTATGATTTTCATGCTCCGCCCTCCTCTCCTTTGCTCCGCTTCCTGCACCTCATCATCCGCGAACACGGATGCGGCTCGCTATTTTCGCCGCTTGCCCGATTACCCAGCCTTGATCAGGGCGACTCGCCTTGTGGTTGTTCGTGGATTGGCTCGTGAGGATTTGAGCAACGCGTTCATGACTTCACCGGGCGTCTAGGTGTTATTGTTGGCGTCTGGGCGTTGCCGCCGGGGTTTACCGCGGGCCAGTGTGATTAACAATTGCAAGCGGCGCGTTGGCAGGCATTCGCCTTCCTGGAGACATCTGTCTGGTTTCGCAGTGACCTTCTTTCGCGCTGCTCTTGTTTCTTTGCCTCCAGTTTGCGGCTGTATGTTTGTAGCCTTTGACTGAGCTCCATCAGACGGCTATAATTCCGCTGCCCTCGCTCGATGCATGACCGTCCCCGCCGCAATGCTCGTGAACTTTCCGGTGGGCTGATCATTTGTGGTTTTGCCTGCAGTTGGACTGCGGGCGGAACGCGGGCGCCGCTTATGCAGTATTCCATTGTTCGTTTTCCTCTGAGGGCATCCGCAGTGGACTTTGCGCGCGCTTGTTTTTTTTGTTGAGCATATCAGTTCGATCAGATTTGTCGTTGTTCGGCACGAGACCGCTAACATGAAATTTGAAAAGGAAAAAATATCCACGCGTCCCTTCATAGCCCACGGCGAAGCCAATGCTTTGTAGGGGCGTTTTGCATTCTCAATCACAAGTCGAACCTGCGCAAACGAGTCCAGAATAAGACCGATGTTTTTGTCTCATAAAAGTGTTTCAAAAACGCTTTTTTATATATAATAAAACTGCAACTGTCGGATTACTAATTTGATTTTTTTCCGTTTCGAAAATGGCTATTAAAAAACGCTGCAATTGTCAGATTATGCACGCGCTGCTCTGGCGAGGCTCCTCAATGATACCCCGTAACAAGTTCCGCGACCGTCCCAGGCCCCCAAGTGCTCACAACCGATGACCATCAAGATGCTGAGGCGGATCAGAGGGATGCTGCACCCGGAGGATGGAGCGGACGACGCGTCGTTGTATCTGCGCATGATCTTCGCATTCTTCTTCATGGCGCGGGTCGGGGAGTGCGCGCTCGGGCCACTGGGATCTGAAGATGGTCTCGACCGGGCTGGACATTGCCCCAAAGTGCAAAGGGGGGCAGGCGAGCCACTTCGCCGCGGCAGACGAGGTGGCGCTGTGGTTCAAGTCGTCGAAGGCAGACCAGGAGGGCGCGGGCCAGGCGAGGAACCACTACCGCTCGAAGGGCGCGGGCGGCATCTCCCCGGCGTGGGCGGCGGAGTGCGATAATAGCTGGTTCCCGAGCCGTATCTCGGGCGAGGAGGCGCACTTGCCACTCGCGAGGCGGGCGGGCGGCAGCCCGACTACGCGGGCGCGCATCCAGGGCCTGCTCCAGAAGGCGGCGGCGCTGGAGGGCTACCCGCCGGACAGGTTCGAGAGCCGCTCGCCCTGCGTCGGCGGAGCGACTGCTCTGCGCCACTGCGTCCAGGACACGGAGTTGGTGAAGCGGCGGGGGCGGTGGAACAGTGGGGCCTTCCGCCAGCGCCTGCGGGGGGCGAACGAAGACGCGGCGGGGGTCTCCAAGGCGATGGCGAAGTCAGTCGCGGCCCTGCACGTCGGCTATAAGGCGACGGCTGCGGGGGGGAGTCGCAGCCGACAGCGAAGCAGGAGGAGGCAGGACGCTGGCCTAATCCCAAGGCGCGGCGTCGAGGATAGCCATTTTGGCTGCGGCGAGGTCGAGTTTTTGGCTGGCGGCGTGACCGCCGCGTGTGGCTGCGGCCCGGAGAGTGCCGACGGTTGCGACGCAGGCGCCGCTGAGGAGGCCAGTGCAGGATTGCCGGCAGTCTGAGGGGCGGTGGCCTTGGGGCAGCGGCCTGGCCACAGCCCGAGGTCGTCTGAAGGGGGGCGGGCGAGCAAGATGCAGGTGGAGGTGGAATGAGTGCTGGGCGTCGGGCCAGGCCCCTCCCAGTCCGGGCGGGGGCCTCGAGGTGGCCCCGCGACTCGAGCAGCGGCGGCGGCGGCGGCAGCGGCGGGGGCGAGGCTGCGGCCCAGCGGCGAGGGCGCTCCGGCAGCGACCGGCGCCGAGGTCCCGCGGAGTGCTGGGTGGCCGAGGAGCCGCCATCGGCGGCGCAGAGGCGGAGGACGGCTAGCGCGCGGCGCGCCTGCGCATGCCAGAAAAGCCCGCCGCTGCCGCTGCTCCTGATCATGGGGAGCGGGTGGGCCACCCGCTCTTTGGTTTTTCCAGGCGCGAGCTCACTCGAACGTGGGAGTTCGCGCGCCAGCCTAGAACGCGAGGTTTTAGCGTGAGGTGCCTGGGGGGGAGGGCAATCCATTTCTCTTCTTCTGTCCACTTCCCCTTCCGCGGCCCACTTGGCCTCAAGTTTTTCTTTCGGGCCCTTCCCTCCCAGGTTATTCCCCTCCCTGGCCCTCGAGGTTTTTTTCGGCTCTGCCTGCTTGCAGGTCGGGCCGAGGAGCCGCCGTCGGCGGCGCAGAGGAGGAGGGCGGCTGGCGCGTGGCGCGCCTGCGCATGCCAGAAAAAGCCCGCCGTTGCCGCTGCTTCTGATCCTGGGGGGCGGGTGGGTCACCCGCTCTTTGGTTCATCCAGGCACGAGCTCATTCAAACGGATCCGATTTGAGAACCGGTTGCGATAGACCCCAGGACAGGGCCCAGGGAATGATTATGTTTGGCTTGGCAGGCGAATTGGGATGTTGCTGTCTCAAGGGTGGGAGGCGGCAGGGAGGATGAGCAGGAGGAGGAGGATGAATAGGAGGAGGAGGAGGAGGAGGAGGAGGAGGAGGAGGAGGAGGAGGAGGAGGAGGAGGAGGAGGTGGAGGAGGACGAGGACGAGGACGAGGACGAGGACGAGGAGGACAGGGAGGACGAGGAGGACGAGGAGGAGGGGGAGCGCAGCCCGGGGGGAGGACGGGGAGGAGGGAGGGCGAGGAGGACGAGGCTAGGAGGAGAAGGATGAGGATGATGAGGGTTTTTTTTCTCCCCCATCGTCCTCGTCGACGGGCAGGGGCGAGGGCCGATTGGCCTCCCGAATTTCCGCGCCGCACCGCTCTGACCGCCTCGCACCCGTGCACCCAAGGTGCGTCGCGGCGGAGAGGGAGCGCCTGGAACTCTTCGGGCTCCACCCCGCCGCGCGCTCGGGCGGGGCACCTGCCCGGGACCTCGGGGAGCAACGTTGCGGGGGGGGGGGCTTGCCCATGGAGGTGGCACCCACTCCCAATCAGTCACTCATCGTCGCCAGTCGCTTCTCTGTCCTCCCCATATTTCCCGCGATCTGATTTTTTCAGCTGGCGCTTTTGTCGAATATTATGGCCCTCGGGGGGCGTTTTCGGCCCTTCCTTCCTTCCGAGTCGTACACCAGGCGGTGCGTGGACAGACAGATCGCGGAAAATGCAATAGACAAAACACTTGGATAATCACAATGAGAGAATGTGATGGCGCAGCGTGCGCTTCCAGCCCGATACGGACTGCGCTGCGTCTACCGTCGCGTGAACACTGCCGAAAATTCCTAAGGATTGCTTCAACATGATGGGAGCGAACTCTCTGCTCGGCGCGCCTCTGCGCCTCACTCCTGCAGCAGTCGCCGGCGTGAAAGAGTTTGGCGCGAACGTGGTGCGGCGAAGCAAGCTGTTCTCACTTGAGCGCAGCACGTCGCCGAACATAAGCATCTGCCGGTATAGTAGCAGGGTACTGGCACCCGTGTGCTGCGCAAGCCTCAGCACTTCTGCGTTTGGTACTCTGGACAACCATGACGGCTTGATGCCAATGATCTTTCTGAGGCACCTGTTCTGGAAGCCGTCCAGACGCCGTGTTTGGGCTTTGTTCAAGCATGCCCCAGCGAGCCCGTAAAGCAATTTCGATTCCACCACTGAAGAGAAAATGCGTAACTTGCGTCTCCAAGTCAGAGAGAAAATGCGTAACTTGCGTTTTCGGCCCAGGGACAATCAATCGTGGATTTGGGACCGAAAAGCGACCCCCCGCGAAGCGGTCGGGACGGGACCTGTTCGCGTCGCGGACAACAAGAAGGGAGTTGTGTGTGACAGTTCTCGACCCCTGGGGCCCTCGCCTGACCCCGGGAATCTCAAAATCAAAACTGGAGACCAAAAGCCAGTCCGGGCGATGGGGCCCAGATTTCTGGAGAGGGGACCGACCTCCAAGTGCCCAATCATCGGGCATTGATAGAAACCCCATCGGAGATTGATAGGAACCTCACCCTGCCAAGTCGATTAGCGAATTGCCTTTTTTCGGTTCTCGAGCGGGTGTCGCAGCAGCAGTTGTTGCGGTTCTGCGCCCGATGGGACTGGTCCTGGGGTTGTTTGCGCTATAGGGTGTTCGGCTGAAGGGGGTTTTGTTCTCCCTGCTACCGAGGTCCACAGAAACAGCACCTCCACACTCACCTGGCTTCTATGGGACTGGGCCAGTGGCGGCGAAGGAGGCGCCGCCAGGAGGGTCCAGCACCAATCCAAAAATTCCGCGCGGATCTCCGAACGTTTACGTATGCTCATGCCGTTGCCGGTATTGTGCCCGATAGCCCCCCCCCCGCTCAGGAACATCCAGTTCTCCCCCTCCCCCTCCCCCTCCTCCTCCTCCTCCCCCTCCTCCTCCTCCTCCTCCCTCCTCCTCCTCCCTCCTCCTCCTCCCTCCTCCCCTCCTCCTCCTCCTCCTCTCCTCCTCTCCCCCCCCTCTCTTGCTCCCCCCTCCCTCTCCTCCTTTTGCCCCTCCTTCTCCTCCTCCTCCTCCTCCTCCTCCTCTTCCTCCTCCTCTCCTCCTCCTCCCTCCTCCTCCTCCTCCTTCATCCTCCTCCTCCTCCTCCCTCCTCCTCCTCTTCCTCCTCCTCCTCCTCTTCCTCCTCCTCTTCCTTCCTCCTCCTCCTCGTCCTCCTCCTCCTCCTCCTCCTCCTCCTCCTCCTCCTCCTCCTCCTCCTCCTCCCCTCCTTCTCACCCTTCCGATCGATGCCAGAGGCCCGTTAGCGAACGCGCATGATGAAGGAAGCGGAAGGACAGGGTTGCGCAATTAGTTCACGCACAGGGAATCTGATAGGGGCACCATTTCAAATAACGGTGACTCCCCCGCCCAGCCCAAATCCGGTTAAAATCTGCCCCGATCCCTCTAGGGGTGCGTCCTAAACAGTTCTTCGACACTTATCCAGCCGTGAGCTTCAAACAAGGCCTCTGCCTTCTAAGAAGTCCCCGACGTCTCAGAAGACCCCGCCCGTTGCGCCACTCCGTTGTGCGCGCCGCCAAGGTAGTCGGGTTGGCTCGTCCTCCCTCGACTCTGGAAGCTCTGAGGCGGAACGCTAGCAGGGAGGGACTGGTTCAGACCAGAACATCGATCCGGAATCGGCGATACATCGCCAATAGATCCGCGACGGGCGGGGGATTTTATTGTAAGGGTGGTTCTGCCGCCCTCTCTTCTAGTCCAAGCTGCCAGTTGGCTTGGCAGCGTCCTGCTCGCCCACTGGATCCTTGAAGCATGCCGTCAGCACCTCTGAGTGGCAGTGCGTTTTGCGGGAGCGGGCAGCGTGGACACCCGCAGTCGATGCCGCTTGTTGTTGCCTCTTTCTGCTCAGTCATCATTGCGCCCCATCAATAGACCCGCGATCGTGACACGTCCAAGCTATGTCAATCGCAGCAAAGTTATTGGACATGTCTGTGATTGACAAGCTCCCCGAGTGTGTTTGCTGCTCGTGTTCGAGCCTCCCTGCTGCCGTACAACATTGTACATCATCCATCGAAGTAGAGCTAACGCGGAAGGTTTCAGGCTTCCCGAATGAAGATGCCAGACGTCCGTGGCCGCGGAATTGTTGCCTGCAGTACCTCTGTCGCCCCATCCGGATGTTTGCTCAGGCCACCAGCAGGAACACAGACGCGAATGCCACGAACTTCTATGTCTCCACGGACTGCTCTGGTGGGGGAGGGAAGGCAGGAGGTCGAGCTCACGGTGCAGTGTTGTTCATGAGCCGTGTTGATTATTGATGTTTCTATGCATTTTGTGTTAGCAAAGTCTCTGGTGCCTCGTTGGGGTTTCCCTGGGCGGACCCAGATGAGCACCTGCGTACTGACGTCGTTGGGGCTATTGCTTGGGGTCGCCATGAAGCGTCTCAGCGGTCCTGCGAGGCCGCAGTAGTGTTCTTTGGGCGGTTCGGAGGCCAGCCGACAGCACGAGACGGTAGGGCGCGTGCACCCTCGCCCACTCTCCAAAAGAGCAGCATGCATTTCGGAACAATACCTTCGGCTAGGAATGAAGAGTCGAATATCCGCCCCTGGCGTAGCAGGCGGTGTCACGAAATTCGGCCTTCACTTGCAGTGCAACAGTAACTAGGCTGTGCAAGATATCATGCTTTGCTGCCGCACGGGCCAATGCAATGAAACCAGTCGTGGTGTGAATCTTAATGTGCACACGTATGGGCGATTTTGCATGTAGCGGGCAATCCGCTCTGGATGGGCGTGCTGGCCCATCCGCAGTCGGTTCGAGTGCGCTGGCCCATCCGCAATCGCACGACAGCGAGGCAGGTAAGGTGCACTCCTCACACACTGGGGTGCTCTTTTGACTGTTGGCGGCCAAAGGACCCGCGTTGGCGCTATTGCGATGCGTTTGCTTGTCTCCACTCCCTTTCCCCTTCTCGCTCTCTATTTCCCTAGGTATCCCCTCAATCGGCCGTTGCTGCCGCCTATCGCACAATTTCGTGTTTAACTGGCCAGTGAAGTTGATCGCGCCTTGGGCGGCGCCGCTCGTAGTCATCCGTGGCGAGCTATACACTGAAGGTGACGCCCACGGTATTCCAATATGTCCTCTTCCTGGTCGTCCTGCTACTCTTTCCTCCTTCTTCTCTGGCCCTGCTTCGCACTGTACTTACTGCCTCACTGCGTTGCTGGCTCCAGGTCTGGTCTTATTTCATCGTGCAATGGTGGGATGTAAAGCGCTGCTGGGAATGCCCAGGGCCAGCGGGTACATCAATTCACGACTGGACGTTAGTGGTTGCGGTCGGATGCGTGGCAGTGTCCTCTCTCATTATTCCTCTTCCTCTTCCTCTTCCTCCCTCCCTGTCTCCTCCGCACTACCTTTTGACCAGCGACCACTAGGGGACACAGCGCCGAACCAAGCGGGGTCCCCGTCGATCCTCGAGAGGATCGACAAGCTACGGCCCCCAACAGCAGGCTTCATCGTAGCCGCACACAAGCGCCGAATCTGTAAAAGCTCTCCGTCACTGCAGCCATGCACCTCGCTTCCGTACCTGATCCTGGCAGGGGCCCAGCCGCACAGAGTTTGATAGCCTTGTATCCTAGAACAGCTCGCTGGTGGACAAGACGTCCAACGCGACGGCTCGCGTTGACCACTGGGCATTGGCACGCGTCGGATCTCGAAGTTGGCGGCCTCTGGGGGCCTTCGCCGGGCCTCGGGACCGTCAAGAAACGACCAGGGGCCAGAAACCGGTCCTGGGGAATTCGGTCGAGACCTCTGGATGAAAAACCAATGACGTCGGGGGTCTGGGACCCTTCCCTCGTTTTCCCCATTTACAAGGGCTTCCTGGGTGGCCCTCGTCGCCACCAGCGGATTCGCCTCGGAGTTCTGGTCGGAACGCGCCCAAGGAGAGGTCCAGGATAGGAGAAGGCCTTCTCAGAAGGCTCTGAAGTCCCCTGGCCTCCTGTGAAGTTTCCTAAGCCTCCCCCGAAGACAAAGAAAACTGCTCTGAAGGCCAGAGGGCTTCTGAGAAGTCCCGCCGCCGTCTGAGAAAGCCTTATTCTTCTCACTTCCAACCCTTGCTTGCCGCCGACAGGGAGTAGCGGTATTGGTACCTTGTGTGTGTATGTGTGAGTGTGTGTATGTGTGTTCCCAGTTCCCCCAGACGCAGCAGCCGGTCGAGCTGCGGTGGCAGGCCCGTGCGGCGCAGCAAAGGATTGCCGGGTGGAGGGCCGGCGCGGTGGGGTTGGAGCTGCAGCGGGGTGAGCTCGCGGGCAACGCGCCGGCGCCATCGGAGAGCGCCGGGCCTGCCACCCCGGGCGCTCCAGCTATCACCACGCTCGTGATCATCAATATCCCAATGGATGCGACGCAGAGAGATCTCCTGGGCTTGATCGACCAAACGGACTTCGCGGACCGCTACGACTTCGCTTACATGCGGAGAGATTTCAAAGCCAGAACAACCAACGCCGTCGTAAATTTTGACACGCCCAGGACTGCTCGCGAGTTCTTCGTCACGTGGGACGGGTCGCAGCTGATCAGAGCTGGAGCCACAGTGCCCGTGCTCGAGGTGAGCGCGTCGGCGCTGTAGGGCTACGGAGAGAACGCCAGGAGGTGGACAGCAAGGCGGCTGCTCTGCACGAAGAACCCCCGAGTTCCGCCCCTTCTTCGCCGAGAGGCCGGCTGCCGGGTCGACGTTCGCTGTGTCGAAGAGGCCAGTTGTGGTTGCCAGTGGCTGGCGGTCGGCCAGCGGAGGGGGCAGGGGAAGAGGAGAAGGAGCAGGATATCGCGCAACGCGTCCTTTGAGCGCTCGGGCCCGCCGTTCGCAAGCGTTGCAGTGAATCGCATTCATCGCGTACGTACCATTTGGCCGTTGGCTTTAGCATGGTTCAATTTATTTCCTTTTGCATGACTAAGCAATTACTTTCTACATGACTCTCGCGGTACCTTGATATCTGCCCTCTGCCGTGATTGGGTTTACCCCATCCAGCAGAATCACGTTAGGATACTCAAGGGGTCGCGTTTGCGCGCGCGCGGCATCGACAGGCCCTTCGGCGCGCCCCCTCGGGCTGCCAGGCCGACTTGCAGCCAACCTCCGACCTTCCTCGCGTTTCCAGAGAAGCCCAGGTGCCCTGGACATTGTTAAATTTTTCCCAGAATCGCGTGATCATTGCCCTGACTGATTTTGCCTCGTCAGTTCCATGCACAAATGGACCCCGCAACTGACTGATGTTGCCGTTTCAAGTGGTGCTCAGGCGTCCCTGAGGTAACAATGCTTGTTCGGCCGCTGCCGAGCTCACTGTGCAGGCGGCTCGCGAGAAAAGAGGGATGGGAATGGAAGGATGAGGAGGAGAAAGAGGAGGAGGAGGAGGAGGAGGAGGAGGAGGAGGAGGAGGAGGAAAAAGAGGAGGATATCGCGCTCTGCGCCCCAGAGTGCTCTGGCTGGCTGCGCCGCGCTGGCTCGACCATGAGCAGGCGCCAGCCAATAATCGCGCGCCCGCCACCCCTGGCGCTCAAGCTGCGTATCACTGCGTTCGAAATCCGAGGCACCAACGTTCGCTCGGCTCATCATGCATCGGGCGGATCTGTAGGTCACTACACATCCGCGGCATCCGCGGAATGGAACTCCTACTCGGCGGTCCTACACATCCCCTGACATCTGGCCGGTACCGCGCCTCCCAGCTTCTGGTGGAGACCCCAAGACGCCGAAGGACAGCCCATGACGACCCCCAAGAAGCTCCCAGAACGTAAAGAACAGCCCAAGACGCTCCCGAGCAGTCCAAAATACCCTGTGGACGGCTCTCCACGCCCAGGAGGCCTCCAAAAGGCCCCAAGAGAGGTCCGAGAGGCGTCCCGGGAAAGTCTGAAGAGGCCAGAATCGTCGATTTCGATTGTTTTTCTATGTTTTTGGCTTTCTCGCGTTTTCGAGCTTCCAACGGTCCAATACCGCCCCAAGACCGCCCAAAAGACTCCCAGGACGGGTCCAAAACGGGCCAAGAAACTTTCAAAATTGTCGAAGAGGCGCCCAGTACAGCGCCCCCCCTTTTTTTTCAAAGTGGATTCCTACTCGGAGATCCCACACATCACCTTGCATCTGGCCGGTACTGCGCCTCCCGGCTTCCCGGGGGGGCCCCAAGACGCCCAAGGACAGCCCAAGACGACCCCAAGGAGCCCCCAGAACGTAAAGAACGGTCCAACACGCTCCCGCGCAGCCCGAGACACCTTCCGACGGCTCTCCAGGCCTTCAGGAGGCCTCCAGAACCCCCAGGGGGTCCGGAAGATCCCACACCCCTGAGGGGCCCGGCTAACAAAACCCGTGAGGCACAAATTAGCCTGGCGAAGGACCCAACCATATGCAGTTGAGAGTACCGCAATTGTGAATATCTTCTTCGGTGGCGCTCCCTATGGGGCCACGAGCCGTATGAGGGGTGTGCCGAAATGCGTGGCAGTGTACACAACACGAACGAAGACGATAGGTCCGAATATGAAAGCTTGAGCGCGTGCGAGTCGGATCGCGAGCGAGTCTGATTATGAATGCATCTGCGCGCGATTGATTCTATTCGCATGAATGCGTGCATGGATACGCCCAGTGTAAATGTATGTATACGACTGTGAACAGTTTGGGTCTGCGTGACTCTCGGTACTCGTGACTCTGAGCGTCGCCTCTGCAGGGGGCTTCCCTGGGAACCCCGACGGCAGCGCCCGCGCGCCGCGACGCCCATGTCGGCACGCCACACACGAGGATCGCGCTCGCTTCCTCCCCTCATTTTTTCCATCTCCTTTGCCCGCGCACTCCAAAGACCAAGGCTGCGGGCGCAGCGCAAGGCGGAGCCCCCGCGACGCGCGCAGGTCGCCCCGAAGGGGTCGCAGTGACGCGCGCGGTTCGTCCGCTGAGCGGATCAGAGAGTGATTGCTGGCTGACTCGTAGCGCGCGTGGCTCTGGCCGCCAGGCAGAGCGACGAGGGGCGGGCGAGGCGCTGGGCAGAGCGCAATGCGGAGTTTGCGCGACGCGCGCTGATCGCCCCGAGAGGGTCAAAGCGACGCGCGCGAGTCGTCCGCGGCGCGAGGCCAAGCAGTCGGACAGCCAAGAGAAGGCGCGGGTGGGGCGGGCCGCTCCTCAGGTCAGGCCTCGCGGATAAACTCTGTGAAGCCGAGCTCCTTGGCGAGGGCCGTCGCCTCCCTCCTGCGCCGCTTCGTGCGCGCCGCAAACTGCTCCAGCTGCTCACGCAAGCCCTCCGGCGGCCCAGCCAGGAAGAACTCGATGCGCGGCGCCCGCGTGAGCAGGAGGTCCTCGTGGCGCGTGGCGCGCGAGAGCAGCACGTAGAGCTCCAGCCACCAGTCGTCGTCCTCCTTCTTGCCGTTCCCGACTCCGTGGCGGCCGCAGTCCAGGATCACGCCTGGGCGACGTCGGCCGAGGGAGCAGTGCGCCGGGCAGCCGACGGCCCAGGGCGAGAGTCCACAAGACCGAAGGATGGCTGCGGACTGCTCGCGCCTCGGAGGTCTGGCCGTCCCCGGAGCGCCGTCCCCCGCCCCGTCGCCTTCTCGCATGGTGCGCCCCTGGCACGCCACCGTGGTGATGACCCTGCCGTGCGAGAACGGGAAGCCCGTCCGGGTGACCTTGGAGGTGCGGAAGGTGAACGGCTCCGACGTGCGGGGCTCGATGAACACCAGCGGGCCCGCGAGGTCCCCCGTGAGGCTCTCGTCGTGGCGCTCGAGGTCATCCACGAAGGGCGCGCTCGCGTACTTCTCCATGCGCACCCAGAACCCCAGCGGCAAGTGCTTTAGATAGATCCTCTTCTCCCCGTCTCTCTCGGCCTTGTCGACGTCGCCCCGATCTCGAGGGTCCACGACGATGTGCACGATCTGCCCCTCGGCATCCTTGACGAGGCCGTTCTTGAGGTCCAGCGCCTCCAGGAGCCGGATCCGCATGCCCACGTGCACCGGGAACAGTCCGTGCATGCCACCGGTGTTCTTCGGGCTGGCACAGTTCATCATCTTGGCGGCGTCCTTCCTGCTCATCGTCGGGGCAGACCTGTCGGCGGCCTGCGCGATGAAGAGAGGCTTCTTCAGGACGTCCGCGTCCCGCTGGGCACGCATGTTCATCCAGCGCGCCGCGGTGTCCCAATAGGACCCGATCATGTGGCCGTTCTGGAACCTGTCCTCCCGGAGTCTACGATCATCGGGTTTCAGCTGCATGGCGTTCCACGTGGCCCGGATGGCCGGCGGGACCTGCTTCCCCGGCTTGCGCAGGAACGCCATGAGGTCCCTGAGTTTCGGGTCCTTGAAGCGGTTGGACGCCTGGAGCTCGAAGCACAGCGGCGTCCTGCAGAAGAGCTTCATCACTGCCTGGTACTCTGGTGCGAGGTTGATGCCCGCCGCCGCCAGTTCCTCGAAGCTGGAGATGAGCGACACCTTGCCTCCCGTCGGCTTCAGCTGCAGGAAGTCCCCCAGGTGGATCACGATGGGCATCCGGCCGAAGGCGCCGCAGACCTGGTCGTACTCCCGCTCCTCCGCGCCCCACTCGGCCTTGCGTCCCAGGTAGGACCGGAACGCCAGCATGTTGTACAGGTTGGGCGAGATCATGCTCACCTCCTCCAGGATCAAGCACCTGACCGCCTCCCACGTGTCCTGCAGCGCTTTCAGCTTGCCCCCCGCGGGTATGTCCTTGTTCCTGAAGGACTGCGCTCCTATGACGCCCGCCCGGTGGCAACTGACGGCCTTGTGAGCGTCCGTGGAGATGTTCGCGGCCTGAGACCACTTCGCGCAGACTATCAGCGTGGACTTCGCCTTGCCCGTTTCCACAGGGAACAGCGCGTCCATGGCCGGCAGCACGATCTCCTGCACCATGGCGGTCTTCCCGCTGCCGCCCTGGCCCAGGAGCAGGAACTGGAACGTCTTCCGCTTCGCGTGCTTGGCCATGCTGCCGTCCTCGATCTTCTGCTCCTCGTCCCAGACCACGTTGCAGGCGTTCGCGAGCGCCGTGACGAACAGGGCCTGGTCGGGCTTCAGAGGGCGGCGCTCCTGCTTCCCCGTGCTCGGGTTGACCACGCCGTCCACGAACTTTTTGACGAGGCGCTTGACGAAGTCGCTGGGCCGCTGCAACTCCTCCGACGGCTCCCACCGCGCCTGCGCCGCCTCGGCTGGCATCGCGCCAGCGCCCGCTGCCCCGACGTCGTCCCGCGCGGGGGCGTCGGCCACGGGCACGTCCGCATCCTTCGTGCCCCCCTTGGCGAACCTCTTCCGCTGGGTCTCCACCAGGCTCTTCAGCTCGTCTGCGTCGAGGTCGCACAGGGCCCTGAACGGAGCGAGGACGTTGTCCTTCAGGGCGCGGGCAGCGCGCCGCGACGCGTCGGCGTCAGTCGGCCCGGGCAGCGCGCCGTTCTCCATCATCGTGGCGGCCTTCTTGAGCTCCTTCACGAAGGCCTGCGTGCGCTCGGCGGTGTCGAAGCGCAAGATCTGCCCGGGCGTCTCGGGGTCGAAGTAGTGATGCTCCAGGACCGCGTTGGCGCCCAGCTTCGCGAAGCCGTCCTGAGCGCGGATGGCCTGGGCCTCCACCTGCGCGGCGCCCGCCCCCGAGTCCTCGGCGCCCTC